GCCATGGCTAGTAGGTTGGAGGCCATGGCTAGTAGGTTGGAGGCCATCACTACTAAGGAGGAGGCCATCGCAAGTTGGAGGCCATCGCTACTAAACTAGGGTGGAGGCGATCGCAAGTAGCTTGGGTGGAGGCCATCGCTACTAGGGTGGAGGCCATCGATGAGGCCATCGCTACTAGGGTGGAGGCCATTGCTAGTAGGTTGGAGGGCATCGCTAGTAGGTTGAAGGCCATCGCTAGCAGGTTGGAGGCCATCGCTACTAGGGTGAAGGCCATCGCTAGCAGTTAGGAGGCCATCGCTACTAGGGTGGAGGCCATTGCTAGTAGGTTGGAGGCCATCGCTACTAGGGTGGAGGCCAGTGCTAGTAGGTTGGAGGCCATCGCTACTAGGGTGAAGGGCATCGCTAGTAGGTTGAAGGCCATCGCTAGCAGTTAGGAGGCCATCTCTACTAGGGTGGAGGCCATTGCTAGTAGGTTGGAGGCCATCGCTACTAGGGTGGAGGGCATTGCTACCAGGGTGGAGGCCATCGTTAGTAGGTTTGAGGCGATCGCAAGTAGCTTGGAGGCCATCGCTACTAGGGTGGAGGCCATCGCTATTGGGTTGGAGGCCATTGTCCGGAAAAGGACCACTGTCTGGCTCGTTTCCTAAGGGGGGGAGTTTGCAGTTGGAGGTTCGAGAAGAAAGAGCAGAATTCTTTTTGAACCCAAACCTTTCTGGCATGTTCTTTTGTCAACGGTTCCCACGTGGTTTCCACAGCGTGACACAACATTTGGCTCTCTTTATTGTCCGACACAAGTCTTGACACAAACATGGGATTTGTTGATCATGGGTTGGGTGCTAATGATATGCGTTAGAACAATGTGTTTAAATTACAATATGAGCGTGTGCTTTCTGGAAGGAGGAAACCAAACAAAAACGGATGTTTGTGGTTCGCCTCTGAACTTTGGGTAGATGCATTGACATTTGTTCAGTTCTTTCTGATCCAGCTTGGCTTCTCACCGCTTGAAAGGAAAGTACTACGACTACGACATCGAAAGAATGAAACGCCCCTGAAGTCAGGCGAAATGATGCCCCATAACGCCTCCATGTTTTTCTCATGCCTACACGTGTTCGTACCCCACGCGAATGGCTCGGCTGGGTCATTCAACCTTTGTCGGGTGGTGCTCCGATGAAAGCAACACCAACCCTTCGAACCCTTCAGAACCCTTGGTCTTGTGGTGCATCTACGACTTTCAGACTCCCCCACTCCCAAAAGAAGGAGAAATACTCGGCGCTATTAGGTTGGAGGCCATTGCTGGTAGCTTGGATGCCATCGCTCTTGGGGTGGAGGCCATTGCTTCTAGGATGGAGGGCATCGCTATTAGGAGAAGTACCTTTCTTCGTTGGGATTCGGCATTCCCGTAACTCGAGCGCGACCCCCTTGAGCAAATGCCGATTCTCGCTTACCATCATGAGGCATAAACTCTGAATCTTCGCACAACTGGGAATCGAAATCTTCAATTTGTTGGTTCCTAGTAGCGATGCCCTTTGCTCCTAGCAGTAAGGCCAGGAGCCCCTAGTAGCGTCCTTGCTCCTAGTAGCGATGCCCTGTGCTACTAGTAGCGTGCCTCATGCCATCTATTTTTTCCATCCAGCGACCCCACCGATGAAATGTGGTCGAGCAGCCCACGCTTCAAAAAGACCACTCAAGTTTCCACTCGAATCCTTGGAGACGGCAAGAGCAATCCACCCAGCACCCAAAATAGATGGAACAATGAACTCCCAAGAGATAAAAAAAAGAGAGAGAGAGAGCTGCTTATGGGGCATCTTAGACTTCCACACATTCAAGAGAGTTATATAAGAGCAGGTGCTCGCACCTGGCCAAGCCAGGCTTCGCCAAACATTTCCTTGCTTGGCTAGCCGCTAGGGAGCGAAGGAAGAAATCCAGGCAAGCCGGTTCTTCCCGGTTCTTCCTTCAACAGTAACAAGTGCCTTACTAGTAGTAACAAGGTTCGCTACTAGGAGCTAATTTCGTTCCACAAGCAAACCGACCCCTATCTACTTCGCATCGCATAGCCCGAAGACAAAAACACTCTTGAGAGGTGCCAAGTCCATGCCACGCTTGACCTGTTCAACCGGACCAGCTGCGCACCGGTGACACCTGTGAAAAACACCCGTGGCGCCCAAGGGGCCGAGTGCTGCTCCGGTGAACTTGATTGGTGGCCCACCTCCTCCTCATCCGGCACCACGCTGCCTTCGACTGCATGAGGTAAGCCACCTAGACCGACCGGATCCCGGATTTGCGGACATGTCCGGCACCACGAGCGACGCATCGCGCACGGGGCGGCCTTACTACGAAGGGAGCGGGCCTTATGACGAACGTAGCAAGAAGCGGTATATGTTTGAACCAATCAGCTGAGGCACTTTGATTCTTCTTCCCAGGCTTCTTCTTGCCTCAGCAGTTTCGCCCATCGGACTGGGAAAAATGTGTGCTCGAGGCACATATCGATGCTCCCAGTATGAGGAGCAAAGACCACGCAATCCATGAAACTACCCATCTAGCAAAAGCCATAGCATCTTTCGCACATAGTTGCTCATAGTTTGGGATGACCAAGCTTCTATGAACCACTTGGCTGTCACTGTTGCAGAAATCATCTGGGAAGCATTCTGGCCTACAAATTAGGACCATCAGCAAGTTGGATTGACCTAGGACCTAAGCCTCCAGCTCTTGAACCATGAGTGTGAGACAAAAACACAGCACTTAAAGAGAGGATCAGGTGTACTGGACTACGTTCCACATGAAACGATCCCAAGGGCCATGGATCGTTCCATGTGCTTTCTTTCACAATAGCATCCTTGCTCCTAGTAGTACGGCCAGGAGCCCCTAGTAGCGTCCTTGGTAAGCAAGGTATGTTTCTTGGCGGTGAAGGTTGGGTGGTGTGTTCCACAGAATTTCTGGAACGACAAGAAAATCGCTGCGGAGACACTGAATGGCCCCAGGATTCTCTTCACCTCAAAGTACAGGATGTCTGACGAGAGCAACTGACCAACTTGAGATATAGTCTCAAGACGTGGACAGCCCGAGCAAACGGCAAATGAATTCAGAAGTGCCCAGCTTAGCATCACACCCGGCCTCATTACCACCTAAAACCTTCGTCTTCAACTGCCACTAGGTTGGAGGCTATCGTTATAAGGTTTGAGGCCATCGCGTTGGAAGTCATAGCTATTAGGTTGGAGGCCATCGCTAGTAGCTTGGAGACCATTACTACGAGCAACAAGAAGCTAGCTACTAGTAACATCTAGTAACAAGAAGCTACTTGTTACTACTAGCTTCCTACCCCCCCCTGCGCGCGCGAAAAGGTCCTAGTAGATTCCTTTGCTAGTAGTTACAATTCCAATTAAATTCTTATTGTTACTACTAGTAAGGCACTTGTTACTAGAAGCGATGCACTTGTTCCTAGTAGCTTCTTGTTACTACTAGAAAGGCACTTGTTACTAGACCGCTTTACTCGGTTCACACTGATTGAACGAAGGCCAAGGAGCCGTATCTCCCATTGCATGAGGGAGGCGAGGGGCGCGCGCCGGTGATCGCGCACCCAGATGCACAGTGGCACAAAACTGTCACGTGGCTGGTGTTTCTGTAGCACGTCTGGTTCAATATAATGGAGATGTGGCTTGGAAGTGGTGGAATGGTTATGGCTGGGCACAATTGATGGGATGTCAATGTCACGTGTTTTCCTCACAAGAGATGTCTCTTGACTTGAACCCGGCGAGAAAGGAATACGAATAAAACAAGCTTGGCTGAGATCAGTGATGAGCTGATCACCGCCCGAAAACCACTAAAAGCGTCACCTTCTTTTGTCTTCGACACTCAAATTGTCCAACACTTTGGGTGGCTTGGGACGTTCGAGGCTTTTGGATTCTTGCACCCAACAAGGGAAGGAAGGCCCGAAAGCCAAGAAGCGACGCAGCGACACACCGTCACTTCCAAAACAAACGCACCGTCACCATTGTCGACCTACCTTAGCATCCTTCAGATGAACATACATGAAAGATGTATGCACTAACCAGCTACTGATTGCGAGGACGTTTGCATCCTCAGAGCATCCAGGACGTTTGCATCCCCAGGTGGAGGAACATATACGAAAACCACCAAGCACATTTTCACATCATATTCGCGAGAATGGAGGCTACCCTCTCTCAATCGATCTCCCTTTTGTCTGATGGCTGCCCTAAAAGAAGAATCAAACTTCCAAATGCTTCTCATAAGATTCTGGCTCAGTTACGGCTCAGTTCCTTTTCTCTAAGCCAGTGTGGTACCAGTACCCGAACCCATGCACTGCCATGCGCCATCGGAAGCTTGGCCATCTTTCCGTCGCGCACTTGACTCGTGCTTGGCTCAAGGCTTTGGCCGCTTCGCGCAGTCTTTACCTGAGAAGTGTAGCGAACACGTCCCAAACTACTGAAGTGAAGCGACGTTCTCTTGGGATTCGGAGAATTGGGATGCAGGGTTCCGCCGCGATGTCATCAAAGCAAAGAGACCAAACGGCACCGGGTGCGGCAAGTGTGAAGCTTATTTCTCATGGACGGCGGACGAAGTTGTAAACCCTGCGGTTTTTGTAAGGTGTCTCTGGAAGCATTTTCAGTTTCTGCCCCAAAGGACTGCGAAATGGATACGAATCCATTTAAGCATTGCCATGATTCTTTTCCACTCCATAATTCCAACATCCTGTCACCAACTACTAGGAGCAAGGACGCTACTAGGGGCTTGGCCGTACTACTAGGAGCAATGTTCGCTACTAGGGGCTCCTGTCACCTTACTAAATGTCCATTCACATATCTTTTGCAACCTACTAGCACGGCTCGACTTTTGTGATATCGCCGAATGTTCTTCGTGCCCTATGGACATCTCCCTAGGCAGAATGAGATCAACTGATCTGCTGCTTCTTAGAAGAGGGGCTTTCCCAAGTGCTTCATCAAGTAGTTGTAGGCCTGCCAGGAGCTACCAGCGCCTAAAACCACAAGAGTAGCAGTGGTGGTTCTTCAGTGCCATGTCTGCTCCGCAGTCATTGGCACGAATACTTTGCCATCCTTGAACTCCTGACCATGGGAGTGTGAAGGTAAACAACATGACCATCCTTGACACAGCAGCCCTAGGCCGTCTCAAAGTTCAAAAGCCAGATTGACATCAAACTTCCGCCCTCTCCATCTCATTTTCTATCATTTTCTCCTCACGACTTTGGTGAAACCGAATCACCCAGCCGCAAATCCACCCACCTCTGATGGCCCTTCATCTGAAAACCACCAAACCTCTCTAGTAACAAGAAGCTACTAGGGGCTCCTGGCCTTACTACTAGGAGCAATGTTCGCTACTAGTAAGAAGAATCACAAAAAGCTTCGCTGGCCTCGCCCTCTTCGCCGAAGTCCACGACGGCCACACAGCTGGTGCCCACCACCTTCCGGGGCAGCCCATCCTGGCGTCCAACGAAACAAACCGCGATGCATGGAACCACAAGTCCCGGTGTAAGGCTATGCTTGCCACACTCGCCTCCCTTGAATGCCTTCCGGGGCCCAATGTAAGCATCAAATTGACCGACTAACAATCTAATGATCCAACTAAGTGTTGCAAATAAGAATAAATACACATAAGATCCACTTCCCCAGCTCCATTTTTGTTCAGCACCTGAAGCATGTTATCCATTCAGCAGACATGTGAAGGCTGCCCTAGCAGTCTGAAAACTCTGGATGTTGCCTGTGAAGCTTCCGCAAAACCTGTTGCACTTGAACTTCCAGCCACCTGCCAATTCCCGAGAAAACATCAATACACGATATACTTCAAGTACGAGGGACTTTTCCTGACCGTACCAAGCGACTGTCTAAGAATTCTTGTTGAGTCCTCACTGCCAACACGTCGGACAAATCCTCCCTGCGATCCTCGCGCCACGACACTCGTTCTCTCACTGGTCCTTGTCGATCTTGCAAAGGCCAGCCCACTCGCCCAGGCTCTTGTTGTCGGGCACCTCAGGCTGGGAGCTTTCAACCAGAACCCCACCTTGCGTGAGATTTCTCCTACAAAGCAGGTACATCTTGTAGGTTTCCTGACTAAGATAGGTGCAGGAACAAAAGGGATCGAACCCCCATGCTTGCCCCACATGGTTGACATTGCTGAGGAAAAAACAATGCCGTATAGGGCATCCCTTGGCTTTGCCACGGCCTGACAGTTTGGCCAAGCTGAAGGAAACTCCAAACTCAGTGACGCTTGTCCACATGGGAGAGATTTCCAAACTGATGGGCTCTTTGCTTTTTGGATCATTTTTGCAATCCACAAATGGCTGCGTGACTTGGATCGGGCCGTGTCCGCTCGGAGTGTATCTGCTTGCCGGCTGTGAAGATGTGTGCATGCCGGAGACCTGAACATTGCAGCCAAGGTGCATCAACCACAGGGACATTCTTCTCGATGCACAAGCCCTGGATCAGCTTCTTGTATGTTGCCTAGGCGACGGCCAGGGTCCAATTCTTCAAATTCACCAGCCACCTCCTCGGGCGACTTCTCTAATTGGACCATTTCCTTATGTTTCAGTTGTGCTGGGGATCCATCCCATGGGAGCAGTTCGATGGTGATGTCACCTTCAAGGGAGGACCGTAGGGCCAATGCAGCAACTTCACTCCAGATTCATCCAACAGCAAGAAGCTCCTGGCAGTATCATAGGTAGGTGTTTCTATGCTACGCCTGGCTTTCCGCTGTATGAAACCAACCAAGATGCCTCGTTGCAGGACTCAGCCAGGAAGACCACTTGAGCCTCATGCAGGCAACCGGACTGATCAAAGTGCCCCAGAGGCTCCATGTTGAGATGATGTTTTCCAGAAGCAAAGTATTGCATGGGTATTGTAGGATTCTTGCTTCTCTTGCTCCATGTCTGTGCCCTTGGCTAAACCTTGTCATCACTCGGCATCAGTTGCCCAAAAATTCCCGCGACAAATCTTCCCAGTAAGCAAGCCATCTCCCGCGACGTTTTTGAAAGCAAGGTAATCTCAGATTACCTTGCTTTCAAAAACGTCGCGGGTGCTGAGTTTAAAGTAGTTCAAGACCCCCACTACTAGCAACAAGAAAGCCTACTAGGTTGGAGGCCATCGCTAGTAGGTTGGAGGCCATTACTACTAGTAACAAGAAGCCTGCTGCCACGGATTCTGATCCTAAACTCCCAAAGCCCTTGTTTCGTCGGCGCCATCGCTCCGATCCTTGCAGGCTTCCACATGCTTGGCCACCTCGTGCAGGCCTCGGATGACGCCATCCACCATGAGCGCACGCTTCAGGACACCTGGCGCGAAGGAGCGCGACGGGTGGAGGGGATCTCTTCGCTCCACAAGCATGGTGGGACACTAACAGCTTCCGTGGTGGTACGCTAGTAGTGAACATTGCTCCTAGTAGTACGGCCAGGAGCCCCTAGTAGCATCCTTGCTCCTGGTAGTAAGTGTTCACCAAATGTGGACAAAAAAACTAAGAAAAACATGCACAAAGAACATGTCAACCTATCGAACACCAGTGTCCGCAACCCTTCTCCCACTCTGCCAAGTTCCATCCTGTCTACCCAACACATACACACACCAAAAAAACAACAACACAGGATTTGATTTTGTACTTTCGTCTACGTCCGTGTGTCATCTTTGTCCGCCATATTATGCTGCAAACGCATTCGTTGGGTTTCACTTATATACTTACACATACACTCATGTTTGTACAACATGACATATGCTAATTTTTCTCACATGTCCACTGTTGACTTACTAGTACTCCCCGACACACAGTTGAACTGAAGGGTCGCGGGACGTGCAATCGTTGAGGAAGTTACTTGGATCTATCCCATTGCCACTAGAACAGTAACCACGAGGGAAGTATTGAAGAGATAGCCATCCAATCCAGCAAGTTATGATAAGTCATCAGTCATCCTCACCTAACCGACACTCACCGTCACTCGCTATTAGGGTGGAGGCCATCGCTTTTGGGAGGAAGGATGCTACTAGGGGCTCCTGGCCTTACTACTAGGAGCAAGGACGCTACTAGAGACTAGGAGCAAAGGGCATCGCTACGAACGGAGCAAGGACGCTCTTAGCTTATTGTTTCTACTAGCTTCTTGTTACTACTAGTAAGGCACTTGTTACTACCAGCGATGCACTTGTTACTACTCCACCACGTTGGAGGCATCCTCAACACCACGTCTTCTCACCACTCCCGGCCTCGCACCGCGCCATTGAGGTCAGTGACCTCCTCCTCTGGCTCCGGCGCCGCGGCCACGGTTTCCTCCTCCTGAAACGACCGGAGCCGCCAGCTGCGGGAACGAAGGAGCGAGCCGAAAGCGGGACGGCGGGGAGTGGTGGTATAAAGCTAGAGGCATAAAGTCATATACTTAATGATACTTAAAGTCATATAATATAATACAATATAATCATATATAATCATATACTTAATGATTCATTATTGAGCACAATGCCACAAATTGGAGGGTTTGATTTCCGTGTGTTCGGAAGCTTGCTGGTTGAACGCATGAGTGCAAAGCCACAAGCCTGGATCCTGGAACAAAACAAGAAACTGGAGCAAATTTACACCTTGACCAGTGACTTAGCCGTACGGCAAAGCATCAATGAAGAAAACAACTAGAGACGCCTCGACCAATAATTGGAATGCAAAAAGTAGAAGGGGTTCTGGTTTGCCTTCTTTAGCGATAATCCTGCGACTGGTCGGGGCCACAGGCGGACTGGAGAGCAAGCTGCCCCACAAAAGCTCTAGGTGACCCAGAATTGAACTGTAGAACCGTAGGTGCTCCGCCTGACAACCACCCACCAGAAAATGATCCCCAAACATGCGAAGCTGCCAACGCGACCAGCTTCACAATGAATGACTGGACTTTTGGCAATGAAGAACATCTGCCACCTTCTTCCACCGCCAAAAGTAGGCTGGCTATGGGACCAGTCCTCAAGCTCTGCCATAGCTGATCTGGTTGCAGTCTGAGCCGAAGACGTCTGCATGAACCTTCTTATAACCCTTAAAACCTGCAGGTTTACCAACCACACCACACATGTGGACCTTCGCAGCCGTCTGGCGACCAAGCGGTTCGGTTCAACATCCGCCCAGCCCGGTGGAAAATAGATCCTCTTCTTTTCCATCCCCATGGGCCCCCTGCCCGTCATTGATGCCTTTTGGGGAAGCATACATCAGAATGACTTGTGCCAAGTTGTGCCAAAGGCAACTTTCCATATGCCATCATGTCCTAGGACGCTACTAGGGGCTCCTGGCCTTACTACTAGGAGCAAGGACGCTACTAGGGGCTAGGCAGCCACAAGTTGTTGTGATGACGTGCCCTCCAGGCACCAACGACATCTACGGCAGGAAAGTCTCCAAGGACAAGGATGTGACCCGCCGAAACATGTCATCCCTCGCTGAGAACCAATAACCCAAACAGAACTCGGCCTAACGAAGCAAGCTCAGCTTGTACTGTCCAATCTTTTCACCCCCCAACACTCGTTCGGCACCTATTCCTTTTCTTGCGCGCGGCAGTCTTGCAGGCGGTCCTGGCACACGCAAGGGGCGGGATGCTTTTTCCAAGACCTTGCAGATCTTCGGTTTCCTTTTTCTTACACCTGGTCCCTCCAACGAGAAGACAGCTCCGCGCATCAAACCAAATGCAAGCGACCAAAATGCACCAGAAGGCGCCCCAACCAATCCGATTTTGCTGCCGGACCACCGAGCCACCATCCCCGTCCCGTCCTCTTCACTCCGCGCTTCGGCAGGATCCCCACGCCGTCGCCGCAGGAGACCACGACCAAATAAGCGAAGTAAGGCCCGCGGCCCACGGGACCTGCCCAGGCCGGGCCTCTAACCTAATAGCATCTTTGCTACTAGTAGCGTCCTTGCTCCTAGTAGCGATGCCTAGGAGCCCCTTAGTAGCGTTCTTGTTCCTAGTTCCTAGTAGTACGGCCAGGAGCCCCTAGTAGCGTCCTTGGCCGGTGCTGAGCAAAATGGTGTTCGATGTGTTCTGTCTCTGGTGGTTCTTTCTTCCCGCCGAATTGAACAAAACAAAAATGGGAAACATCACTTCGGGACATGATAGGGTTGAACTAAGTGGAACTCTTTTCAACCTGATAGGTCTTGAAGGTCGCTTTTCATTGGCGGTCCCTGTTTTTAAGATACTCCAGCCTGACGAAGCCACGGGGGGTGCTCGAAAAAGGTGTCATGTGTTGGCGGTTCTTGAGGGAACAACAGGATCAGCCAGTCAAGAAGCTACTAGGGCCTCCTGGCGTTGCTACTAGGAGCAAGGACGCTACTAGGGGCTCCAACTCGCAACTTTGCTGTTCGTCGTGGCCCTCGGCCCGAGACAAACGCGCCTTCCCCGCCGCGGGCCACGTTCCGGCAGCCCGGCCGCGCTTGGAACTCGGAGATCAAAGCCTCGGTGCGCGCTGACGAGCTCCGCAGTGGCTCCCTCAACCAAGCGATTCACTTCTCATCCTCCAAACTTGGGTTTCGTGTGGGTGGGCCATAGCCCTGACGGAGCTGCTCCGGAAAGTCAATAACTCCAAATTGAGTTTCCACTTGACAGTGGATTTCGCTCCAAAGGATGAGCCAACTTCCTGCACAAAAAGCGCTTTACAGGCGACTTCTCCAAGATGTCAAGTGGGTGGTTGCGTGCAGAACTCATTTGCTCCCAATTCGATCATACAACCACTCAACTGTTCAATTTCGGTGCCGAGGTGCGGCTTCCAACATCTGCACCAAGCCGGGCTCTTCAGTGACATGTAGCAGGTGCATCCTTAGTGGCAATCCCTGAAATTGAACCACTCTGTACCGCCTCTCCACAAAAACTGGTGCGACCCCCCAAGTTGGTTTAAGCAACAAGCTTGCTCGACCACATGCCATGCCGGAGTGTCTGCTCGTAGCCCTCACGTTCGTAGGCGCGCCAGCGGACAAAGGGTGTGCAGGTGATACCGATCTTGAAGACCACCGGAGCCTCAAAAGGTTTTGCGGCGACGAGGCTAAGACAGCTCCATCCAGGAAAGTCCGTGAACATTTCCAGGCCCTTTTGAAATTCCCTGGCCGGTAGGTATGGTGGGGATCAAATTTGGACCACTGCTTCCAATGGCAAGTCGTTCAGTCCATCTCACACTTTGGAACTGGTTATTCCTGTGGCTGACTTTTTGCAATAACAGGGATTACTAGTTCAACCTAAGAAAAAGCGCCAGAGTAAAGCAACAAAGGGCCTCTTCATAAGGCCCCTGTAATGAGAGGCCCCCCCACCATAATTTGTCATATATATATATATATATCCGCATATGCCGCATATGTATACACATCTTCTTCGCTTCAATTCAAATCCCAGTGTCCATGGCATCCAAGATCTGCGTCACGACCTCCTTTGCTCGGTGCAGCGCCGCCCCCGCCAGCGCCGCGCGTGCGACCTTTCCGCCTTTCCCCGGCCGCGGCGGAAGCCGTGCAGCGGAGACCTTCGGGTCGCCGAGCAGCTCCGAAGGCATGGAGCGGTACCTAGGGAAAAGCGGTCCAACATGGAACTAGGAATGCTACTAGGAACAAGTGCATCACTTCTAGTAACAAGTGCCTTACTAGTAGTAACAAGAAGCTATTAGAAACAACGGCATCGCTACTAGGAACAAGAATGACACCGAGTTCGGCCCTTTCAGATTGGTTTGGAGGAGTTATGGCGGACGAGTTCCGCCCGCCGCAGAGTGCGGGCAAGAGCACCTGCCCAGTTGTGCAGAAAAAGGAAGCATGGGCCTTTTGTTGAACTTCTTGTCCATAACAGGGGTCATCCGAAGCAAGCGAAGGAAACCGACACATTTGGCTGACCGTTGCTCCTCCAGAATAAGTCTGCAATCTATGCAATGGAATGCTACGTTCTTTTTCTAGTCTGTAAAGATCGACCAGTCAGTACCAGCACCAAAATGCTCTGGACTTTTGACATGTTCATTGTGGCAGGGTCCGGAAGAAACAGAATCAGCTGGGAAAATGTCACGGCAGCTGAGCCGACGAGTCATTTCCGCCCAAATGAAAACAACATGTTGAGATTTGGTACAGGGGCGAACTCAAAGCCTAGATCAACTCCAGCTGTTCGATCTTGAGGAAGCACAAATGTTGTCTTCGGAAGCGGGTAGAACTTCTTTGTAGATCTCGGGACCAGCCATTGGTCCATGCAGAATTGGCCACATGTGTGATGGTGAAAGAAGTTGATGATGCCCTCCTGTCCAAGGTCAGTGAGTCCGAACTCTCTGTTCTTACTATGTACAACGGGATCTGTCAAGACATAACTGCTATTGTAGCGAGCACCCTGCAAGTCACTCACAAGATACTCGCCACGACTGACATGGTAGGAGTAGTGGCTGAAGGCCTTCATCAAGCCTCCTTGCACGACATCCTCCTTCGAGTTCTGGTAGCCCGTGTTGGAATTGAACTTGGTGTAGTCGCTTGAATGGCTCCACAAGACATCTGGCATACTTTCCAGCGGGATTGGGATGTATGTCTTGCCAAACTTCACAGCAATTCATCAGAATTTGCCTGGTTGCACGTTCCCCCGTCCACTTTAGCCTGTTGAAACCTGCCAGGAAGGATCCGGCTTTGATCATGGCAGCAATGTCTTGGTCGTAGAAACTTGCGTCATACACGTACCCATGCTTGAACCTCTTGCAAACACACTTCTCCCCTGTTCGAGGCCCTTCGGTGGACTCACACTCTTCAACCCGGCGCTGGTCAGTCACTGCCATGAGGGGCACCCCTCTGCCTTCTTGGTAGTAGAAAGGCAACCAGGTCGGATTGTTCCAAACAAAGTTGAATCGGGCCCGGCCATCTTCACAGAGCTGCGCAGTGCCATCGTTCAGAAATTGTGACTCATCATCCATGGACATTTCATCAATATTCCATGTCTTGACATGCGACGCGGAAGCGCTCCAATTAGCACTTTGACAGTTCAACAGCCACCCTAGCCACCAAAGGATATTGGTTTCTATGTGTTGAACGTTAAGATGACGAGCGAGCCTCGATACAGCCGTCGATGATGCAGCACAAAAGGTGGTGCGACGGCCCAGGAAATAACTGAGAAGGCAATAGAAGCCACGAAGAGGCTAGAGGACTTCTTATGGTGTGGCGCGAAAATGTGGGACATCCACAAGAAACACGTCGAATCAAACCCTAAGTTCGATGAGGACTTGGCAAGGCGAGGCCAGTGGGAAGGGAACGGGACAAATTTCCATGTCAGACCGCCGAAGAAAAATCAGTCCAGGAGGCCTCAGCGAGTTCAGTTCTTGCCACGCACACACATGAGAGACATGTGGAAGCACACCTCAAAAGACACATCTGAGATCATAACAAAGCAGGTGTGAGAGCGCACATATAAGATCACAAACCAGAACGCACCTCGGAGCACTCATGAGACCCGCATAAAACAATGCGCGCAAGCAAACAGCACAAACCAAGCGTGGTACGAAATCTGCACTGCATGTCCCAAAAGTGCTACGCCTGCTACAAAGCCGCCAAGCCAGCCTTGCACCCACCGCGAACTCTGCTCCGCTCTCAAGAGTCTTTGGGTCTTCCTTAAGCCCCCGACCTTTTGGATGTTTTTTTCTCACCTATTTCTGATTATGAACAGAATCCTCTGCGTACAATAGCAAGTCTTACTTCGCCGACAGGTGGTTTTGCACTGCCCAGGTACAGATCGCTATCCAGTGGCACACAGCACAGGCCGTTCAGATTTGCTTGTGCCGCCTGACCAAGCTCGTTCAAAAGCTGTGCTGCTGCTGCAGGGCCGCTGGAGGTGACGCCTTTTCGGCGCAAGGCATTCAAAGCCTGGAGACAGAAGCATGGTTGGGAAAAGAGATCAGTCTTGACAACATCTCCGGGAGCCCTCGGCCTAAAAGCTAGTTGGCATCAGTGCTCGCTTTTCTCGAGCCACTCTCCTACCACTTGCTGACCCAAGGCACCGTTTCGAGCGCTGCATTCATCATGCTCTCGTCCTCCTCTGCCAAACAGCTGATCTCCTCGCGCTCCTGTGGCCCTCCATGCAGCGTTTGAAGGAACCACATGGCCCGGCGCTCCGCGCGCTCCACCGGCCGTGCCGTGCTGGGGACGCCACCGAGGGCTGCCGGCCGCGGTGCCTCTAGGTCGATGGCGCCCGTGGAGGGTGTCGGCCGCGGCTCCTTCGGTGGGTCGGGCGGGGCCAGGCGGGGCCTCTTCGCTGGGTCTGGGCGGATGCTGGGCGGCTGGACACGGCTCGGGGCACTGGAGCTGGCTTTGGCTGCCTTCAGGGTTGAGCATCAACAATTCATCCGAGAATCACCAAATACGGCAGACCATGCATTGGAAAATAAAGCACAAGAACCGCCTTCGATGGCTTCGATGGATTTTTTATGTTTGGAACTGAGCTGCCAAACCTCTGCGCTTGAGTGCAACATTTGTGAGCAAAAACGTTGTGGCACTTTGTGAGAAAAAACGTCCAGTTTTGACAGGCTGACAAACACGAATGCTCTCCAAGTTGGGTTCGCAGGCGAGAACGCACAAAGTGCATGCATGAACGGATCCATCACTCCTCTCCCTGAGTCAAAAGGAATGGGGATTCCAATTTGAAGGCTGATGTGGCAAACAAACAGTTCCTAGCCCCAATAATACTCCTGGACCGGTCGGTGGAGGAAAACGATGGAAAAAACCAATCCTTTGCGATGAGTTCTTGAAGTGCCCGGGTCCTACGGGTCCTATCCTCTCCGAACCCTAAAGGCCAACCCTTTCCACCGCCTTTGTGCCGCTCTCGTCCGGTGGCGTCTCCAGCAGCTCCCGCGCCCGAGAGTGGATGCGAAGGGAGCGCTCGGGCGAGTCGCCAAAGAGCAGCTGCTCCAGGGGACGTGCCACGCAACCCATCAGCCACTCGTGCTCCGCCGCGTGCTCCGGTGCATCGGCTGCGGGAGCTGCGGGCGCGGGAGCTCCAGGTGCCTCAAACGAGGAAGAGGAGGAGGGGCTGTCTGACTGATTGATTTCCTAAGGGTTTTGACCTGTGGTACTGTATAGCACCCCAGAGAAGACACTGTTTCCAAAGGTTTCGCAAGGTTCCTAACACTGCGTTGCAGTGGCCAGTGTTCTTCAAGACCTGTAAGGTCTGAGCCGATGACGGCGACACCTCTATAGGTGCTGTCCACCCTTGGTGACGAAGCAGTTCCCCACCTGCTCCGCTTCCATCGCATCTGCCGCTTCCACTGGCTCGGGTGCGGTGAGGCACTCGGCGTCGGCGCGGTGCTTGGCGGCTGCCACCGCAGAGAGGTCCGGGAGCAGCGGTGCTTGGTCTGCCTGGGTGGGGAGAACACACCTGGGGTCCGCTCGTCTATGGGCTGACATGGATGGAGGACGTAAGGATGGGGTCAGCGTTCTTCAATAGGAAGAGGATAGTTTTCCAATGGATGGCTTCAACGCCGCCCACGCGAGGCCCCATGTTTCACAGGATGTGTTGTTCCGGTGAGGGGCGTATGTACATCCGATATTGCTTCGCTAAAGGGTCAAAAGCGGGTGGCAGGCACAATTTGTTGAAGCGTATGGTTGCTGAAGTTCGCCTGCAAGCCCAAGTTCACATGCAAGCTTGTCAACTGCTTTGGACGTATGCATATGCATTTCAATGACGCTGAAATGTGAGCCATGAGCCTTAATAGGCCTCAAAAAAATGGTGAGGTGCACGGTGGAAGTTGTGCTGCTGGAAGTCGACAAAGTGGAGGCCGCGTACACACTCCAAAAACACGTCAGTCTCGGTCTAGGAAAACACCGAAAGCAACGCCGTGCTACCGTTGTTTCAGTCAACACGAAGGAGTTGAAATCCGGCGAGGCGTTCAAAACCCTGCAAGGGTTGTCACGTGAGAGACGACCACTTCAAAACAATAAGCAGCCCAAACAGTGCCTCAAATAGCAGCCAGCCAAAAAACCAGCCCCAGGCCCTAGTCACCCTAGCCTGGTTCTTGACCAAAATTTGTACATGATGGTTGATGCTCCTGCTTGGCAAAGGAGGTTCATGCAAAGCCATTCCACCAATCAGCGCTTTGGAACTGGGCCAGTCTGTCGGATTTTTCTGCACTTGGGCAGGTTTGTTGGCACATAGCCAGACTCTAAATCCACCAGCGGACTGGTTTTACATATGGAAATGGATGACGCATGATGACCACCAAATCTTCATTGAAAGCCGACTGGCCCAACATGCAACCTTCGCAGTCCGACCGTCAAACCAAAGAATTCTGCCCTCTCCGGCCTTGGGTGCCTCTTTAGGCTCCTCTGCAGCTTCAGGGGCCTGATGAAACCAGGGAGGTTGGAGACCGAAAACAGGAATGGGTGCTTCTACAGTACTATAGACTATAGAGGCTTGTTCTTCCGCAATGACTCATCTTGCCCAATGAGGGGCAAAGCCATCTGACATCATCTGCCACATTCTCCGACCCCCACACCATCCACACACCGAGCTGTCCCATTCCTTCCAAGAATCCCTAGATCCAGCCAGTCCCCACATCGTTTCCCCCCTCATCTCTGACGTCTGACGCCTGATCTTTCGTTTTCGTTTCGTTCTCATTCATCGCCTCGAGCATCATCAGCAAATCGTCCTGGCTCACTCCGCCCTTCCGTGGCGATGGATGGCTCAGCCGGGGATGGCTCGGCGAGCCGCGCGGCGAGGCGCTGCCGTCGGAGTCGAGCTCGGTGGCCACGGGGCCTCCCAACGTCAGACGAGCACGTTGGAGTCCAGGGCGGACTCTTTTCATCTAATTCAAAATCCAGGGAATGCCTTGCCTGGCCTCAAAAAAAAAGGGGAAACCACGACCTTCGACGCCTTGAGCGTTCGTTTTCTTTGGCGAATCTCAAGAGTGTGGCGCGAGCAGCATGGGATTACCTATCGCTGAATCACATCAATGCGGAACATGAGTGCCACAAACTCCACCATTTTACATGATTCTAGTGGGCACATTGGAAACTGATGGCCCCCCGCCGATCTTGTGCACCATCAGTGGCCGGCCAGGTGTTCTCTGCCCAGGGACAATCTCCCTGCAGTTTAAGGACGGTTAGGACCAGTTTTTTCTATTAAACATATTTCTTTGGATTCTTTCGAGGTCTGGAGTCTTCACCCACAAATCAGCCATTGAGGCTTCACAGCCTCCCCATTGTAACCACTTGGAACATGTTGGAATCATTTCCAAGCTTTGAAGAACAAACGCTCTATGTGCATGTGTGAAGGCGCGTGTGCTAGCGCCACAGGTCCATCGCTAGTAGGTTGGAGGCCATTCCTAGTTGACTGGAGGCCACATTTCTCCTAGCAGCGAGGGGGGGAGCGGGCTAAAAAAAGGAGAACAGACACACATGAAAACAGTAGCGTTCTTGTTCCTAGTAGTAAGGCCAGGAGCCCCTAGTAGCATCCTTGCCGCCCTGCGGCTGGGTGCCCGGCTGGCCGCAGAGCTCCGTCGCACCGAGGAAAAGCGGCGCGAGGGCGTGGGCCGGTCGCTGACGGTGGCAGTGAGGGCGGTGGGACGCTCCGGTGTGCAAACCTGGGCCCGTCCAAAGCATGGAGGACCAGTACCATGGTACAAAGGCAAGGATTTATGAATTAGTAATCGCCCAACACCCGAATAACCTCCGGGGAGTCCGTCAAACCCAATCACCAAGAACAAACGCGACGAGCCTGTCAGGATCACGTCACAAAAGAAGGTGGCTGCCCCACACCCCAAAGTGGGCCAAGTCGGGGTCCCCTCCCAAGAACAACTTGTGTCCATGCGTTGTTTCAAAGCACATCCGCTCATTTGCATTCGGTTACATAGTACACGTTATATAGTTTCAATTCTCTGCAACTTAGCTTCGATGACAGTCTCGGGTAGACTGCTGTTGCTGCTGCTGACCGTTGCCACATCCTGAATGGCGCAACTGAAAAGAGCTGGTCGCAGGAGATGCTGATAGGATTTTCACTGCTCTCAGCACCGGTCACTGGTCAAAGTCGAAAATTCATAGACGCCTGTAATGGCTCAAACCTCTGCAGCTCAGAAGGTGTGCCTGTAAAGCCACCAATGAGGTACGCCAGTTACGTCTAGACAGCTCGGAACTCTGGAACCCCCTCTGTTCGGTCGGCACTTGCTGCGGGAACACTTGTGCAACTGAGGTGGGTTCACAGTCACAGTCACAGGTAGGCCACCGCTACTGTGGTTTGGAGGCCATCGTTAGTAGGTTGGAGCCCTTTCGCGTTGACAGCATCCGCTTTGTGAACCCCGCCTCGGCCATGGCTCCATGAGTCTTGCATGTGGCGTCGCCGTGAACATGGACTCGTCCGCACCGCTGAACTGCTTGGATGGGATGAAGCTCCATCTTGGGGAGTTGACTGAGTGAACCACCAAAACCCAAGAGTGACCCTGAGTAGGTGAGTGGTATGTGGTGCCTGCACTAAAACAGCCCGCGCCAGACTACATTGATCGGCCACCTTTGAGATGGAAAGCTAGTTGACTTGCGGTTGGGTGCACCTTCTTCTTCATATTGGCACAGCTTTCTACATTTGATTCTTTTTGTGTGGCAATCTCTGACAATCTCTGTGCTGTGAGTGGACATGGGGACATCCAAACGGATTTCTTCCTCCCCAGACTAGGCTTCAGCGCAATGTGCTCTGGAGTTGATGCTGCATGGGGCACGCACATGAGATCACAGGAACATGCACCTTTCGAGTCTTTTGCCCATGATCGGTGTATGAAGGCCCTTGAGTGGCAGCGGGAAGGATGACAACTTTGGGAATCTCACAAGCTAGGCTGCTTGGCATGTTGCATGGAATGTTCTCCAAGTCCGTTCTCAACTCACCACTGCGAAACGTGTAAGAAGTTCTCATGACTTCACCCACGCACGAAAACACGGCAAAGGAGCCCTGCAGTTGGCACGGGTCGATCTTTTGGTTTTCTTGGCTCAAACCTAAGTTTCAACCAGTACAAAGCAGGTTCTGGAGAGTTTCTCCCAACAAAAAGGGAGGAAAGGGAGCCAACCACTTCATCTCACGAAAGCACAGTCTGGCCAAGCTGGACCTCGTCCAGTGGGCAACCACTGCTATTTAATAGCTGCTATTAGGTTGGAGGCCATTGCTCTTAGGTTGGAGGCCATTGCTCTTAGGTTGGAGGCCATTGCTATTAGGTTGGAGGCCATCGCTAGTAGTGCCATCGCTCTTAGGTTCCTTTAAAGTCCTTTTTGATAAACCTAAAGTTGACCTAAAGCCACGTGTTTGGAGTGTCCCACATCCCACTCCCCCGACTGGTCAGCCGTGCCCACTTTTTCGAGGTGCACGTTTTGAGCTCTGGCGGTCTCCGGTGGCCGTTCACCACCGGGGCAGCGACTTTGTTGTCGTGGCCGTCGCTGATTTTTCGGACCCTTACTGCACAGTTGGATTTCAATCCCCTGAATCATATGGTAGAAAAACAAAAGGGATGAGAAACCAACAAAGAACAAAAGATCTGACATTCTGTGCTTCACTCATCTTCCAAACAGGTATCTTTATTTACTACATCGGCCACATCCAGCCACATCCACAGCTTCACCCCCTCA